CAATCTAATCACATTTAATAGGTCTACGGGAATTATAACGTGGAAATTATTCGCTTCACGATGATTAAAAGTATATTAGAGTATCACGAAAAAGTTGAAATTTCTTCATTCACAAACCGAAAGTATAAAGCTTTTGAAAGTTTCTATCGTTCTCAAATCGATTCTGCTTGCAAGACAAGTTGTGAAAACCGTTCTCGATTTATTTGATCTACCGACGAAGAGTACGTGTTCAATTGGTATCAGTGGATTAGAAGAGACGATAGGCGGATCGATAGTAAACATTTCATTAAAACGCACGGGAAGAAAGCGGAAGTATAAGATTGGGCGTAGGAGAACGGATAATCCTCCGATAATCCGGGAATCATTCTCAAGAATGAATCGCTCTATCGATCCGAGGGAATATAATTGAAAAAGTTGTTCCTTTGCTCTCGTCGATCGAGTTGCCTGTCTTTCCCAGCCGACTTCGCCTTCTCCCTGTCTCGAATCAAAGGATGAATCAAGGTGCTAGAACAAGGGGTAGGTGGCAGAGAAGAAAGGGGCGTGTTTCATCCTTCAGCCCATTTCAAATTTCCGGCAATTTTGGTGATGAAAGTTGAAGCTGTCTCCATTATTTTACGGAGTTTCTCTTTTAATACCCTTGTACATGAAAGATTCAAAAGAGAATAGCTACTTAAAAATATAAAATCATTGTACATTCTTATAAAAGGTATCCTCGTACAGACGGAAGCAGTTAATATAAAGATAGAAATAAATATAAATCCAATGTTCAGTATTACTCATTAATAACTATGAAAATAGACTTTCGAATCAATTCAGTGTTCATCTATTCAATTAATTAATTAATTTGAAACGGAAATGGTTTTATATTCATTCCGGCTGTAAATTAAGGCCGCTTTTACCAGAGTTGAGGGTCTTACTGCTGCGAAACTTTGTGCGCGTGAAGACGATTGGCAATCGACGCGAAGCGATACAAAAATGTCGTTACCCGACGTTCACAGAATAAGGTCATTCACAGTTCACTGCAACTCAATTTCGAGCGATAGTTACATAACAAAGGGACAACGTCGATCCCGCGGGGACGCTCCTCCTTCTTTTCCAGTTATTTCGCAGCACACGGTACGTATCTGCGGAGCGAGCCGAGCGAGTCGATTGCCGTGCGCTCGCGCGCGCGTCCAACGGCACAGAAGTCGCATGCGTGAGCTTTTCCACGCGCGGACAGTAATTTGCCTGTCACCGGTGACGAGCGGAATCAAAGAGACGGTGCTGGTAATTGGAGTAGCACGTTTGGTTCCCCGGGCTGGTTGGCTTCCCCCTTTTTCCAGCTTTTTTTTTATAGTAAAAACGTTGATGGTAGTTGAAGTCGATAGAAAGAATGATAATCCTATATTTTATACGATTTTTTTCTTAATTAGAAGAAATTCATATCTAGAGATTTCTGAGAAAAAAAGAATCATAATCAAAACAGCTCAATAAATGCACATATCCATCGTCAACATGCTAATGTAACTCGCACATGTTGAACGCGTCAAAATCCTATTTACCAGGCCATGAATTTAGCCGAGGATGACGTGCGAAAGAAAATATTACACGACACAAATTATTACCGCTTCCGTTTTCATGACAGCGACTTCGCGATTGGACGATTTTCGCCTTTGCGAGCCGCGTGCGGGAATATTGTCGCGCTCGCAATAAAAGACGCGCAATAAATCAAAGAAATGGGCGAAAAAGTGTTGAGAGAAATTGAAAGGGCAAAAAGGAAAAGAGGGAAACGGATGAACACTGAATTATTGATGATCAGAACGCGACTCTCTATTTGTCAGCTCGTTTGAGCGGCGGTAACGCGTGAATTCAATTAGCCGAGCTCGCACGGACCACGTTGATAAGCCGAGAGGTCGTTAGACACGTTGTATTGCGAAAGAAAAAGGGTGGGCCGGTCGCTTTTTAAAAAGTCTCGTTAACTCGCATAATTAATTCGCTGCTGGCGCCCGCGGCCACCGCGCCAGATAATTAATTCAGCTGCGATAACTCCTGCCCGTGAAGAAGGATTTTACGGTAGGCTTCATCCCGCCGTTTTAAATTCGATCTGCGCTTTATTGTTCGGAAGATATTAATATAAATAAAGAGTGTTGATTAAACATTCCAAAGAGATAAAAAATCGCGATGCCATTTGGTTAGAACTGTTAGATAGTAGTATTGCCATTTAAATAGAGCTGGGAATGCGTGCAGTGAGAGTTGTCTGTATTCGGTCAGCCAGTAGTACTGCTGTATAATAAGTCAGCCGGCAGTGTCGATGAATACTACAGTAGACAGTAGTATAGACGATAGACGCCATTAGTAGCTTCAAGCATTATTCTGTTGTATATTAAATAACATTCTTATTATACAGGGTGTCTCAATTAAAGGAGTCCACCTAACTATCTCCTGTTTTTAAATAAACAATATATATATGTTAAACAATAATAACCTTTATTAAGACACCCTGTATAATAAAATTTGTATTATGAGGACAAAAAATAATACAAAAAATATCCATATCTTTTAGCTTATTAAATTTATTTGGGTAATTATCGAAACTATATTATTACATTATATTTTCTTCAGAATATAAAAAATTAAATTGCTAAAATTGTTCTATGATATTAAACTTCGGTAAATGAAGATTTACCTTTATGATAGCAACATGTACGAGCGTATCTACTACAAAATAGTTGGAATTCAGGTCACCAGTTTAGCTCAAAGTTCCCTCAGAATTGCATACGCACATACATACATAGTTTACCTACTATTATATATTTTAAAAACGCGAACAGAATTTGTTATCTAAATTTTATTTATTCTTACAAGCTTTTCCCTACGATTTTCATCCATTATCTGGCTAATCTAATACATGACTAAATACAGTATGTGTAATATATAGACCGTCTTAGAATATCGATTGGCCCACTTCTTTTACAACTCCATTAATGCTAAAGTGCACATAAACAATATCGGTTTCTGAAACAGTATTTGCAGAGCGTTGCCGCAAGCACGGTACGCGTAGGTCGTTGCTGACATTGTAATGAACATCGTGCGTTGCCAACGTTGGACGCCCATTTATAACGAGAATTATCGTTGCTTATAGTGAAAATTACTCTCCCTAAATAAACCATGATGATTTATAGCGGAATTTACAATGTAGGTTTATGGGTTGAAATTACGAAACCAGCACGTACATGACAGAAAGTTTATAGCAAAAATCGCGTCCTACGCGTGCGTAAAAATACCGAGTTTATGGTTAATTTAAAGTCAAGTGCATGCAGCGCACGTATTGTGTCTTCCAGAACTCCTCCAGAACGTTCGTATCGTGTGTTCCGTAAGGGTTGAGAGTGCGATCGAGCTCCCAGAATCTTATGTTATAGTAACTCATTCCACTAAGAAAGGCCCACTTTCTAGTATATGAAGACACTGATAGCTCGTTAGGATTAGTCCTCCGAGTTATTGCAAAAGCTGTCATTTTTACGCTCGAACGAAGATCGATTTAGACTCCCTCCTTAGTTTGTCCATCTCCTTTCGGTACTGAAGTATATCTTAGCCTGTCCAAGCTGTCTTATCTGTCGTCTATGAAATATGTCTTGGTCCAATAACCACGTTTGTTGCCTGCCTGGATTTTGCATGACACCCATAACAGTATACAACGTGTTTTATAGTTAAACTGCTGCTATAAACATACTATGCATATGAGTATATGTAATCTTGCTTTTATACCGAAAAACCAGATGGAACGAGATTTTTAGTAACAATTCCGAGATTTCTGGTATTTAACGTTAATTGGAGAGAAACAAATGCATTAAAAAAGATTGAGGAAAAAATACAATATTCGTCAAAACTGTAACAAAGTTTCTCTATCTTTCTTCTATGTACATGTACTAGAATGTAATGAAAAGAAACATAGAACTTAAGTACACTACCATTACTGTTATAAGAATTGAATTCCTAAGGACTGCTTCTATAGATAATGAACGTCAACTAAGGTAGGGGATATCAGAAATGTATATCGATGCGTTAACGTTAACGTCACGCATATTAAAAGAAAAACGCGTTGCACCATTCGCAAACAACCGGAACTAAGTATGTTATATACCAAGTCAGGCGACCAATTACCAACGAGCTGCGCATTAAACACGGAAACAGAAGCGCTGCCTTTGTCATTCGAATTGCCGTCTTGAGAAGTTACCAGGAGAGGTTTCGCGACGGGTAAATCTAGTGTCCCATCGTAATTCGAAAGCGATTGTTCGAATTTATGAAGCCATTAGGTACCGCGAGACGTTCGGCTAAAGCCCTGTTCCTGATTCCTGGCGCAATAAAAGAGTCGCGTTACGGTACTATTTTGTCTAAAGTGGCGGACCACCTACATTAAGAATATAACAAGCTGATTGCGTGTGCTTTTGTTGCACGAACGAGCCGTAGTACATAGTACATACATACATACATACATACATACATACATAGTAAGTATAAACATGGACTATAGTTTGTATGTATGTCTGTATAAAGGAAACTGGCCAGCGATGCCACCATAAACTTTCTTGCGATGTAATATCGCGGTGGCCCAGCAACGTAGAAATTCCTGAAAGCGCCCTATTCTTTATGTCTATACGATCGTCTATTCTCGAGAAAATAACGAGTTCTCGAGTTATATTTTAAGATTAATCGGAAAAATGAGTTTCGTTTAAATGCATAGATGAATAAAGCTTAGAATGATTCATTTTCTTCCCAGCATATCTTATTTCATTGTATGTTAAGTTGCGTCTCCACTATATAACAAACCATTATTATACAACGAATTTGTTTCAAATTTTGTTAAGTAACATATTCCTATACTTTGTTACGAATCTCTACGTGTTAAAAAACTTAATTTATTAAGTATTGAAAACCGGAACATTGAATTTTTGAACAAAATGTATAGCCATAAGTATTTACACATTGTACGTTAGTTAAAGGGGGAACTGTTTTCTTTTCAGCAGTGAGCTCCATGCGGCCGATAGACAGCACAAAATGCGTGGTGCTCCAAGACGTGAAAGCTGTCACTCATGAGAACGCGCACGTTCACGACCCGATATCAACGCAAATACCCACGGAAGGTAAATATCGAGCGGTATCAATTTGCATCCACTATGCATGATGTAAATACTCCGATGTACGACGTCTCACGGTAATTGCTTTTGGGAGGGGAGGGCGTTTGCCTCGTTCGAATGGCTTCCCCTGGCCTGATATCAGCTTGGCCGTCCCGTATATAACCATACAATGGCCACACTACCGCCGAGAATAATGTCGGTTTTGATGTGTAGCCTCCTTCGTTGACTTACACTATCGGAATATTTGTCGCGGTCCGATGAAACGGTATCACGGTAAACGTTATTACACATTGAAATTGTGAATTCGTGAGAAGTTCATTGATGCTGCTGAACACTAGCTCTTTTTAGTAGAATCCTTATATATATCTGATCCTACGCAAATAACACTTTCGAAATTACTCATAGAAACTTATGAATATAGATATTAAACGTAGTTCTTATCATCAAACCAGTTATCATAGGATGTTGAGAACTGCATCGGTTCTGACGTCTAGTCGTTGACTTATACTACTGAAATATTTGCAAGTCGAATAGACAGTAAGTGCTTTCGTGCCTAAATTGTCCGAAGCTGTTTTAAGTCTTCGCGGGAAAACACGAGTTGACCGAAAGTATAAAATCTTCAAAATCACGCATGCGCTTTGATATAATGTATTTTGTAACATAAATTTGTAGCACAAAATGTACAGTTCACTAGACATTTCTTTTCTCCATTATTCGATGTTATAGACACTATAATATGATATTAAGTCTATCTGGAGAAATTATTATTTGACGACGAAATATCTGTTTCCATGCAGAGTCTCTACCAACAAGCACGGCAGAGCACTCGAGCGCGTCGGACAGCGCCGGGGACCAACAGAGCGACCCACAGATCCAGCAATCCGCGCAGCAATGGCCAGCGGTGCTCGAGCTACAAGCTTATAACGTAGCCCATTCCGCCGTAATACCGCCTTACCACTTCTGGAACACCGAGTTCCGAAACAAGCAGCCTGCCTTCATCCGGCTGAACCTAACGTTGCCCTGGGGCGCGAACTTCGCCGTTTACGGAAGACGGAACGTAGCTCCGAGCGTCACGCAGTACGATTTCGTCGAGTTCGTGAAAGGTGGCCGGGTTGATCACAGATTAAAGAGGGACACCAGTTCGGAGGCAGTCAGTTTCATGAAAGCGGCGACGATGGTCGCACGAGGCAACGAGAATCGATCGTACCAACACGTTCTGATCAAACGGACCATCGTCGAGCCTATGATGGTGAACGTTAGTCTGCTCCAGCATCTGGACACCGGACGTTGGTTCATTTCGGTGTACAACGACGAGCTGCAGCCGTACAAGGTTACACTGGTTGTGACCGAAGCCGAGGGCGTATCGACTACCTGTCTCAACGACTGCTCTGGAAGAGGATCGTGTTATCTTGGAAAGTGCGACTGCATTGACGGGTATCAGGTGCGTATCCTCGGGTTTCTTGCAAGGCGTCGAGAGAGGTTGACGAGGGGCGAGGATGGGTGTGGGGAGTCGAAAACGGTTGGCTGATGGGGTTGTTGAGGTTACGGAAACTTTGTCGTATTGGCTGTATGAGATGAAAGTGATGGATCGTGTCACAAGACAAGATGGAGTTGAAAATTTCTATTATATCCTTTCGTCGTTGATTTTTTTGCGGATAGCAATACGTTGTATGTTGGATACGGTTTTATAGTATACGATGTACATATACTTGCGCTAAATATAAGGTGAATCGTTGGCCTGAACGCAGTGCCACTCCCCTTGTTAGTTCTCGGCTGATGAGGTGAAATACCTATTACATAATATATAACAGGCAAGGCGGGGTCACTTTAATCGGGATCAAGTAGGCAGGTGGAATATTGCCTTCAGCTAGTTAAATATACGACCGTAGTTACGCTAATGTTACGTTAATTGATTATAAAACTGCAAACTACGAGATTAATATAACGAATTGCCACTGTAACCCAGTTATCACGTTATTAATATGTTATGAACAGAGGCCGAAACAACACATTTTCACTTATTTCACGTTTATTAATAGAGAATGTAAGTGACTTTAAATTGAATAATATATTACTGCATCAGCAACGGAATAGAGTGAAAATGCTACATATGTTTCCGAATACGATATTTTATATTCATTATTAAGTGCATCAATTTAAGGCAGTTGTTACCCTGCTAAACTGATTTTTTAAAAATCGGCTACAAATAC